CCTGTATTTATTACTCATTGCTAAAACAATCCTATAGTTATTACTGATTACTGACATGTGCATTTTGGTAAAGACAGGAGAACATGGTGGATGATAACACAGCTGATATGCATGGTTATCTCAGGGAAAAGAGGAGTGAGACTGACTAGAAATGAAAGGCAGGGGATACAGAGGAACTTTTTCCCTATAGATTGTATTATTTTATTCCTTGTGGTATACATATTCAGCTCATATTCTAGGACATTTAGTAACTTATAATAAAAACTCCTGTATATCACCACTGAATCATTAAGTGCTGGAATCACAAATACATGTTTCCACAATACCATTTATATCCTTCATTCATGGCATGACTTATATTTTATTTGTTAGATTTTATATATGTATCTCTCACACTGGGCTCTGTGCCCTTAGGAATAAGGATCCAGGTCAATTAATCTGTGTACATCTGAGGACTGACAACCCATTCCAACATACAGCAGATGTTTAATAACACCTTTTGAAATGAAAGATAAAGCTGTATCTTGCAGGCTATGTCCTGAATGTGTACACCAAAAGATTTGGGAAACAGACTAAGTAATGAACCATTTTCTATGGCTGTATGAGCATCAATGGAAACATGACTTGATGACTGAGTAGTAATTTTAAGCTCACTGGTGTGGAGTCCCCTTCCCAGAGAAGTAATTTTTTACTCAGAAAGGGGAGTTCTGAGGGCCTACGGGTCCCTATCAAAATTGGGAACATTGGAGCAAATCCATGACTAGTCCTGTCAAACTGAATTCAAACTTCATGATCTTCAGGCTCTTTTTTAAATCTTTTTTTTTTTTCCTGTAATCCTCTAAGAATGACTTTTGGTGACTTAGTCCTGAGGTTACTTTTCCTGGTCCAGACTGGGATTGGGGAGTATGTTTCTTCTTTCAACCTATGCTTCTACATCCTGTACTGGCGACACACTCAGGCCCATACACTTGATTTTCACCAACATGGCTGTGGCCAACTTCTTGGTTCTTCTCTTCATGGGGATTCCCCACATGATATTTATGTGGGGAATGACACACATCCTGGACAACACTGGTATAAACTTGTCTATTATATCCATAGGGTGGCCCAAGGCCTTTCTCTCTGCACCACTTGCCTGTTGAGCAATGTTCAGGCAATAACCATAAGCCTTAGAACCACTAGGTGGATGCAGCTCAAAGACAGAGCTTAGAAGAACATCAGTTCTTTCTGCTTTCTATATTGGTTCCAACCTGCTGATAAACATCTTTATTCCTTAAAATTAGAGGCTCATCAACACACTCACAATTCTACCAAGATATGGGATTATGGATTGTGCTTTTCTAAAAATCCTACATCTATTGCTGCTGCAAAATACATGTTTCTAGTGACTTTATCAGATGTTGTATTCATGGGACTCATGACTGGGGCCAGTGCTTACATGGTACTTCTTCTCCACAGACATCATCAGAGGGTGAGGCATATTCACACCCTCAGAAATGCCCGTAGATTTCCTGAGTCAAAAGACACTCAAAATGTCCTGCTTCTAGCAAGCACCTTCATTTTGTTTTACTTAACCAATTCTATCCTCACAATTTATAATGTTGCTTTTTTCAAATCTCACATCTGGATTCAGTATACCATCCTCTTTCTGACAGCATGTTACCCTACCCTGAGCCCCCTGATAATGTTGCTTCGAGATCCCCGAACACCAAGATTCTGCTCTTGAATGATGATGAAAAGCATCCTGAATTACTCGTGGTCCCATTCACAAGTGTCTCTTTTCTTCAAAGAATCTGGTTATTCACTGATCAAGCAAGGACAGACCTAGAACACAACAGACATACAGCCAACATACTGATAATGAAAAGACTTGTATGACATTGACTTAAACGTGTAGAGTGTTTCAGCTTCATTCAGAAGGCAGTCAATAGTCAATCAAATAAACACAATTCTGCATGCATTAGCACTGTCTTGATGCTTTGTGAAGTTCTTTGAAACATTTGATGGAAGCACAGAAATGGAGTAGGACAGAAGTAATTTTGTGATACATCAGAATTTTTAATGGTTTATTAGGGTGATTATTAAATTTGATACAGTGTTTTGTATAGATAAAGAGTAATGGCTTTGTGTGCCAACAACAACTGTAACCAATGGGGAGCAGCTTAATCATTACTGACATGTAGAATCAACAGATTGTACTCTATTAAACTATTGTGCAAAAATAAATGAGAGGATGAAGTCAGACTTCCAAAATAGCACATTGATGGCCTTTGTAAATCCACTCTTCCATAAAAGCAACATAAACACTAGCAAAATTATCAAACACAACTTTTCTATAACTCCAGTATGTAATCAAAAGCTTACAACAGCCTGAAGAACATTTAGTCAAGAAAAAAGTTTGGGCCCTGTCTGGTATGACTCAATGGGTTGAATGCCAGTCTGTAAACTGAAAGGTTGCCCATTAGATTTCCAGTCAGGGCACATAGCAGGGTTGTGGACCAGGTCCTTGGTTGGGGGAGTGTGAGAGGCAACCTATTAATATTTCTCTCACACATCAATGTTTCTCTTCCTCTCTTTCCCCCTCCCTTCTTCTCTCTGTAAAAAAAATAAAATCTTTAAAAAAACTGGCCCTGGCCCGTGTGGCTCAGTTGGTTGGAGTACATTCCTGTACACTGAAGGGTCGTGGGTTCTATTCCTGGTAAGGGCACATACCCAGGTTGCAGGTTCAATTCCTAGTTGGGGTGCGTACAAGAAGGCAGCCAATTGATGTTTCTCTTTCATGTTGATGTTTCTCTTTTCTTTACTCTCTCTCTTTCTGAAAGCAATGAATAAATGTCTTTGGGTGAGGATTAAAAAAAAGTCTGAACCTCAGTAAAAACTGTGGGGTATATAGTTTTCATTCTGTTTACTCCCATCCCTGTCTCCCCAGCTCCATGCTAGTCATGGAAAAAATGGAAGCTTCACAAGTATAGTAGCCATGGAAACCATTTTTAAAGAACAATCAGTTTAAATTTTTAACTCTGCAGTAGCTTAAGGCTGTAGTGCAAACTGGTGTGAACAAAAGCCCAGTCAAAAATTTTAAAAGGAATATCTGAAGTATAAGATGTTCACAAGGAGCCCTGGCTGGTGTGGCTCAGTGGACTGAGTGCTGGCTTGTGAACCAAAAAGTCACTGGTTTGATTCCCAGTCAGAGCATGTGTATGGGTTGCAGCCCGGGTCAGGTCCCCAGTACGGGGCGTATGAGAAGCAACCACACTGATGTTTCTCTCCCTTTCTTTCTCCTTCCCTGCCCCTCTGTCTAACATAATATAAAATAAATAAATAAAAATATTTACAGAAAAAGATTTTCACAAGGAGGTATTAAACATATTCCGAGGATCTAGGAGGCCACATACATTTACAGGGATGTGTATATGCCCAATTAATTCACCTCCTGGTGATCTTAAAATCCTGTGGCAGGAAGAAAATGCTAAGGTGGACTTGTGAAGTGTCTGAGCATTGAAGTAGGGCCTCAACACACAACATATCCCTTGGCAAAGGTAGAAGACTTACTGACTTGGGGTGACTAAGAAAATTTCTCTGATCAACCATCAGCTAACCAAGAATACACTTCTGGAACCATATATTACAGGAAAAGAGAATGTACACAATTATTCCAGCAATGTCACTAAACAAACTACAACAAAACAGCAACAACAACAAGCCCTGGGGAAAGGGGGAATCTGATACTCAATGTAGTAACATTATATTGCCTGACATAGCCTCAACAAAAATTTAATGAAGAATCACAAGTTTGGCTCCTCACAGGAAAAAAAAGCAGTTCATAGTCCCTTAGGGGTCTTGTAAGTCAGCTTTACTACACAAAGGCTTTAAATCAGCTATTATGAGTATGTTCAAGGAACTCAAATAAGTTATCTTTAGAGAACTAAAGTATGGTATGATATTTCATCAAAGGAACTTGTGGCAGAAGTCAACCTTATTATAGTGGTTGTCTGTTTGGTGTACTCAGAGCTTGTTTATGGGGATTTTGTGGCAGTGGAAAAAATACAAAGTTTTAAAAATGTATAATATAATTAAAGGAAAACTACTAGAATTAATAAGCATATCCACTTTGCTCGGTATGATATCAATATACAAGTCAACTGTATTTCTACCACCAACAAAGAGTGAAACAATGAAATTATAAAATATCATTTACAAGAGCATTGAAAATATCAAGTATCATGAAATTAATCTAATAAAATTGACAGGACTTTTATAAGTTTTATCAACTTTATTCGGAGACATTAAAGAAAACCTAAATAAATGGAGTGATACACATTGTTTATGGATTTTAAGATTTCATATTGTGAAGGTGTCATTACTGAAAATGATTTATAGATTCAGTGCAGTCCCAATATGAATTCCAGACACTTTTTTCTGGTGGAAGTTGACAAGGTAAGTTAAAATTTTATGTGCAAATATAAAGGGCCAAGAGAACAATGATATTCTTGTAGAAAAAATGGTAGAAGGCCTTGCTTAGATTATAAAACTCAGAAATATTCCATAGGTAAAACACAGTGTTGGCCTAGGGACAAATAGCAGATCCATGGAACAGAACATGTGAGATCAGAGTCATACAGATAGGGACACTTGATTTATGATAGATATGGTACTACCAAGCAGTAGTTACAAGGCTGACATTAAATTATGCTGCTGGAATAATTATCTACACCTAGGGAAAAGATGGCCAATTCTTCCCAGTAGTCACAGAAACAAATGACTGGGCAGATATTTTTTGATGTATCTCAGTTTTTCTTGTAACGTAAGAAACAAGTATTATTTTCTTGTCCTGTACAGTGGTTGCCATTGTCTACACCACCACCATTTTTGCCTCTTAATCCCTCACTGTGTTTTATCAGGAAGCACACGTCCAGAGCGCTCTCCTCCTACCACCTCTGCTTCACATCAACATCTCGTCTCCTAATCCCCACTTTTCAAATGTGTTAACCGGCATTTACCTCAACATTCCCCAGTTCTCGGCTCCAAGCGCGTTCGTTATTGTATGGACCCAAAGATTTGCAGTACGGTCGCGTCTTTCCTGCGTTTTCAAAACGGCTACGAAACTGCCTGGGTGCGGCCATTTTCTGCTGAGGCCAGACCTGTGATTGGTTTAGCTTTCGGGTCAGGTCGGAAGACTCCGGCCAAGACCGCTGAAATGCTGTTGAGCATGCGCACTGGTGCCGACAAACGCTGTGGAAGTAGAAGAACCGAAGGGGAGAATTTCTGAAGAGAAGAGAAAGGATCTGTTGACCCTGTCCATGCTCGGGATAGTCGACGAAATCAGGTTGCCTACATTGGCCATCTCCCTCTCCGTACGGGGCTCAATCCAAGACGGCGGAACCAAGTCAAAGATGGCCGCTCTCACACAGAGTAACGAAAAGGGCGCGGCCATATTGCCCAGCGGTATTTTCAAAAGAGAATACAATCGGCGTTTGTAGGCAGGTCGCTCACTTCAGAGTGCTACTGAGCCTGCGTAATAGCACAAGACACAGACCAGTCAAAAAAGGGGTCCGAAGCGGAAGTAGCGTGTGGAATTTTGGCTTCCTTAGGTAAGAGCAAAATTTTCTTTTGAGTTTACGTTCGATTTCTGCGAGCGTCTGTAAGAATCCGGCGCCGTGGGAATTCCGTGACCTGAGATGTAGTTGGTGGTGGGTATTCGTGGGTGGGGTTGGGGGAGGTTTTTAAGGAGGCTTCGTAATTTTGGAATGGCCGTGGGAGGCTTGCCTGGCATCAGTGTTTAGGGGAATGGGTTGAGGAAGAAAGGATACACCATTCCTGGTGACAGTGGCAGGTCAGATGCGGATAGTGGGGAGAGGCGTTGGGAAAATCACTGACGGAGGGGCCTATAGGATATGGTCGGTGAGGACAGGGATTGATTGGTGATTGATTAGTCGTCTGGGGTTCTCATGGTCTTAGTTGGAGCATCCGAGGGGCCGTGGCCCACGTGAAAAATAGGTTTCTGGGGACCTGTGAATGGGTGCTGCGGCCAAGTGCGGGGTGGGGAGTGGTAGGGTATCCTTGAGAGAGGTTGGTGGGTTTGGAACGTGAGGAGGTGTACAGATATTTGGGCGTGTACCAAACACTGGGGTATTGTTTCCCAACATTTCATACTGAAAAATTGCAAGCATGCAGAAGAGTCGAAAGAACAGTAAAGTGATCACCTTTACACTCGCCATCTAGATCCATGAATTGTTAAAAGCGTGCCATAAATACTTGGCGTCAGTCAATGTACACGTGTTTATATGTGCTTGAAACCACATTTGTTCTAGCTTTTTTATGTTAGTTCTGCCACTGGTTTGTGTGACTTTCGATAAGGTACCAACTACTTTAAATCTCACTTTTACCATTTAAACATATGATACCCACCTCACAGGTCCTCGAAAGCCCTGCTTGCATGACCTCAGCTAACCCCAATTACCTGCAAGGCTCCATTGCCAAATAACATCACATTGAGGATTAGCTCTTCAACATATGAATTTGGGGCTCACAATATTAAGTCTGTAACAGGTAGGTACTTGACAAAAAGCTATTCAAATATATACATTTCTAGTGGGAGGTTTTCTATTTAAAGCAATTCTATGAACTTATTTTTGTCATATATACTTTATAACCTCTATGAGTTTATGCTGAATATTAAATGGAGGTCTCTAGTTTTTTGTCACAATATTATTGTATGCTTGTCATTAATAAATAGAATAAAAATCACCTTCAATTTACTAACTAAGCTATTTAAAATGTTTTGAAGTATATTTTTAAACTGAATTATATATTATGGATAGTTGTCTTTTTATAACTTATAAAAGAAGGTTCGATTAAATGCATTTTTCATAGGCTTCTGATTTAGTTTTACCAAACTTGGCCAGTAATGATTATGTAATGCTTCCACACACAGTGTGTCAGACTTTTTTACATCTTTGGTGACCGTGGTACATCTCATCCTGTTCTTTTCTAATATGATGGCCCAGTTTTGGCTTGTCCATCTTCTGGAAATGAAAGGCATCTCATTGTGGTCTCCATAGGCACTGTTCTCATTACTGATATGGTTTATTTTTTTTTATATGTTCATTGGCCAATTTTAAACCTGAGAAGTATGTTTTTTCTTTACTCACTTTTAGAAAATAGTCAGATATAGGGAATAGTAGTCTTTTGTTACTTATTTTGTACTAAACCATTTGACTGGCCTTTGTTGCCAGCTCCTGGGAGGTAGCCCCTAAATTGTTGGAATGTCCTGAATGATAGGAGTGTCTGTGTTATTCATGGTGGACTTTGATAAGTTATGCTAACAAGGTGACACATGGTGGATCTGTAGATAGGTAGTTTTTGCTAGTGAGATGACTCAGGATGGGGCTGCGTATTCCGAAAGGACCAATCACGGTGACTAGAGGCCTGGGACTTTGAGCCACGTAATAATGTCAACCCAACCTCCAGGAGGGTAGGGTTGCTGGAGGATGAGCCACATGGCCAGTGACTAATCATGTTCATTTAATGGGACACTAATCAGAACTATAGACAGTGAAGCCCGGATGAGCTTTGGGTGGCAGTACCCTGCATATTATTTTGCGCAGATATGCTGGATGAGTAGTATGTTCTGATGCCAAGGAGAAAGGACAGTGGAAGCTTCTGGTTTGGGTTCCTTGCAAACCTCACTCTGTTGTATCTCTCCATTAGGCTGGTTATGGTCTGTATCTTTTTGCTATAATAAAACTCTTAATTTTGTACATTTTTCCTTCAGAAAGCCAGTAGTGTTTTTTTCTTTTAATTTGTTGCTTGAACATGAAATTTCAATTAATATTTATAGTGCTCTTAAAGCAGTTGCATAATGACAGCTTCATTTGTTCTTTTGCAATTTTCATCCCTCAGTTTACTTTCCCAGTTTACTGGACAGATTTTGATCTGTAGTACATTTTGGGGTAAAGATTTTGGGAGTAGTTATCATTGGCATGTACCTAAGCTTAAAGAAATGCCGTAGATTTGTTTGTAGATACTCTTTATCAAATTAACAGTGTTCTTGGCTATTTCTAGTTGAGTAAGATTTTTAAAATTTGTGAGTGGCTATGCTATTTTATTAGTTATCTTTTCTTCATCTGCTGAGGTAATTAATTAATCTTATTATACTGTTCTTTCATTCCTTAAATAAAGTCAGCTGTGAATTGTATAATTCTTCCTATGTATCAGTGGATATAGTTTCCTAATATTTTATTTAGGGTTTTTATAGTCAAGTTCATAAATGAGATTAGCCTATAAGTTTCTTTCTTATATTGTCCTTGAAATCTAGGTTTGTTTTCTTGTGTTCTTTTGCTTCTTTGCACGTCTGGTAGTTTTTGATTAGATGTCAGATATTGTCAGTTTTACATTATTTGAGGAATTTTCTCTTACTCTTTTAACTACTTTTGAGGTTTGCTCTGGGTCATAGTTAGGTTACTTTAAATAGTTTAATCCCTCTTTTTTTTTTTGGAATTTTTATGAGTTTCTTTCACTCACACTGACAATACATGCCAGAGAGCAAGAAAACTCCTGAGAAGAAGAGTTTTGCAGCTCATTTTGATCTTTGGAGGCTTTCTTTTAGCTTAGTTAGGTTGGACGAAAAAAGTCTTTCGTCTAGGATTACTTTGTGTCTACTACTGAGGCAGTACTTGGCTGAGACCTCTATTTGAAATCCCTGTGTATCTTTCCACCCTGGCTAGTGAGAACATAGACCATTCCTCACCTTCAGTGAGCTCCAGGAATTGTTAGGCTTGCTTCTTTCCAGTGGCCTTCTCCCAGTTCATTAGTAGTTGGCCAGAGAGTCAAGGGAGCCCTCTGCACATCTAAACAGTGAGTTTTCTCTCCCGTTCTCCCCCCCATCCCTCCCTTCCTTCTCCCCTCACTCCCTTTTTGTCTTCCTCCTTCCCTGTCTCTCCCTCTCTCACCTTACCCTGATACACTGCTTGGCAAACTTACCACCTTTGCCTCCTCAGACTTTGAATTCTGTGTCATTAACTCAGCAAGACTGTAGACCTTTTCTGGGCCCCTTCTCCCTGTGTTGTGGCCTGAAACATCTCTTCAGGCAGTGAGCTGCAGCATACAAGGGTCTTACCTTCTTTGTTTTTTCTCTTCTCTGATTTCTGTGTTTGAAAATGGTTCTAGATATTTTTCCAATTTTTTTAAAAGTTGGTTAAGATGAAGAATAATTCTAGTAATTGTCTCTGGAATCAGAGGATTTATTGATTATGAGGGTTTGTGTTTTATCCATGCTCCATGGGTTACTACTTGTGTAGCCTTTAGCTAGGTGCTGGACTTTTCCTTTCTTGGTGTACTCTGAAGTAGAATAATTATAGTGTGTACCTCATAGGGTTGTTGTGAGGGTTAAGTGAAGAAACAAGGTGCTTAAAACAGTTCAGTGCTGCCCTGGCTGGTGTGACTCAGTGGGTTAAGTGCCAGCCTGCAAATCAAAGGGTTGCTGGTTTGACTCCCAGTCAGGTATTTGCCTGGGCTGGGAACTGGGTCCCTGGTTGGAGGTGTGTGAGAGTCAACCAATTGATGTATTTCTCAAATATGTGTCTCTTTCCCTCTCTTTCTCCCTCATTTCCTCTCTTTAAAAATAAATGAAATCTAAAAAACAAAAACAAACAAAAAAATAGTTCATTGTTTGTATAGGAACTCACTTTTATTATTTTCATGCCAAACAAATCTTTCCTTGACTTTGTAGATGCTGGCTTCCTAAAATGAGAGGCTTCTGTAAATGAAAAAAGTAAATCTCAGTCCAGAAATTATTCCTTGCTGAAGCTAACCTCCATGAGACACCAACATCAGGATTTCAGGAAGATACTAAAAGTGGTGGGCATTTCCAGAAAGCTGCTGAAATGACTAAGTTGCAGGTCAGCTTGTTATTTTCCAGTTTGTTATCCAGGATATTTCTGGAAGTTTATAAAAATGTATGTAATCAAAGAGAACAATATACTGGTATGTAGACACATTGCAGCAGGCAGATAGGTGCTTGGACTGGGAGACAGAGTAAATGATTCAGAGTAACTCTCAGGCAGAAAGATGTATCTGCTTGTCAAAGTGCTAATTAGAATATTGCCAAATAAACAACAAGATCCAGAAC